TGTTGGCCATTTCCCGTACCGCTTCCTCAACCTCAAGTAGAGATGGGATGTCGTCGAGCGGCACGCACGTGGGCCAGCGTATGCCCTTGTCAGCCGCGTGCAGGTCGATGGTCGGCGACTTGGTGTTGAGAAGCTTGTGGAACCACCGTGCCAACCGTTGGCGAATGAACGTGGGGTCCCGAAGGACCTTGCCGTCCTCGTCCTTGATGTGCTGAGAGGTGAACGACCTGTTACCTTCGACGTCGATCATCTTCAGGTGCCTGTAGAAATCCGCCTGATCCCCCTCGCGGCTNCCTTCAGGGTCGCCTCGAAGGCGCTGTTCTTTGAGGCCCCACGCAGTTGCTGCTGGGCCGCCTTAACCTCCGGAGACGCTTGGGAGATCTCGTGCTGCGCTTCGCTCGTTTACCAACCTCTCTGCCCTCGTGCGCACCTCGCCAGCGGCGCGGTCTCAGCAGCGGCCGACATCACCGTAGCCGTCAGCTCGGCGGCGGTCTCTCCCGTTGGCCGCCTGAGCGCCGTGGGCGGAGGGCAGCTGGCGGCCCTATTTTGGAAGGTGACTCGTAGGTGTTTGTCCTTCCTCAACCGCTCGAGGTCGATACGGATCCGGCTGCTTCCGCTGTTCCCCCGCACTCGTCGGTTGGGTGCGACACGGGGGGGGAGGCGGACAGTCGTAAGCACGAGGTTGTGGTCAGAGTCTTTGAAGTCGACACGTTTGACGGAGACATTGCGCACGAAACGCCGGTCCGCCTGACGCATGAGGATGAAGTCGAGGCGGTACTTCTCCTTTCCCTTGTTGGAGCTCTGGAATGTGTGCTGCACTCCACCTTTCGGTGTCCGGAAGTAGGTGTTGGTCAGGGAGAGTTGGTTGTCTGATGCCAGTCCAAGAAGTCTTTCCCCGTTCTTGTTCGTAATGTCGCGTCCGTACGCGCCCATAATCTTGGCATCGCAGCACCCGTCTCGCCTCCTACCAGTGCGTGCGTTGGCGTCCATTAGCACCCCGAGATGGTCACGGCTGTGAACCTCCCAGATTGCTGCGTCGAGAGCAGTCCAGAAGGAGTCCTCGGCGTCAACATCACCGCCCGCGGTGGTGCGAACAGTTTCCGTGGGGGCGTACCCCACCACGAAAGTTACTCCGCAGGTGCGGCCAATTTGTAGACGCACCTTCATCAGCCTCGGGCTAATGCACTCCACCGTCCTACCTTCCTCGCCCACACTCTCCCACATGGCCTCCTTGATCGCTATGCCCACACCGTGTACGCCCCTCTTGTCCTTGGTGCCAGCACGGGCGCCACTCCAAATGATCACGTACCCGTCGTGTGCAATTGAACCTTGCCCCTCTCGTCGGGTCTCCTGAAGTCCTATCACATCACAGCCGGTCGCGGAACAAATCTGCATGACCGTCATCACGTTGTGACCGATGGGGTTCCTACCGCTGTAGGCGAGCGTGCGTACGTTGAACGTGCCGAGCGATAGATCGCCCTCTCGTGCCTTCTTCTTTGCAGCCGCCTTGACGGCCGCTGCGGTCTCGTGTCTCCCTTGGTGCACCTCGCGTTGCGGGTGTGCTTTCTTCCGTATTTTCCGAGCGGCGAGTTTCCTCGCATCAATCCATCTCTGCAGAGCTCGGTTCTTGCCTGTGGTGTTTTGACGAGGAGGGTGCAGCACTCCCTCCCCGCGGTGCCCGCGGTTGTCTCCCTTCTCCCGCGAGCGGTGCTTACTGACGTGGTGTTTACGAATCTCTCTACTCCTCCAGCTTCGTGGGCCACGCTTTCCGCGACGGTGGTTGCCAGGTGCAGTTTGCCGCTTTGCATTACTGCCGCGGGAACAGTGTCCATACACACCTCTCGCCACTACCACCGTCTGTGCATCCTCACCGCCACGCTGAGCCAGCGCGGTGGTGGGTTGCACCTTGGGACACCACCCGTCTACTATCTGTTGTTGCCTGGTTCGCCCGCGAGGGACTCACTAGGTCGATTTCGGCCCCGGCGGGGGAGCAGGCCGAGGGGGGGGATGGAGGGGGGACATTGTGTCCATGGGAAAATGTCCAAGTCAAGAGAAAAAGTGTGCACCCAAGGAGATTCGAACCAGTATCCTGCCGCTGATGGCATATGCGAAAGTGTACCGATTCTGGTAAAAGTCAATCGGCGGATACCCTGCGAATCGGGCCCTCCTTTTAACACTCTGGAAACCTCCGTCTGTGTTCTTGCAATGGACTCCTTCGGCTTTTGACGTACTGGGGGTACGTTATGCATGTGGTGAGCAATTCATGATGTCTGAAAAAGCGAAGTTGTTTGGAGATATGGCGTCTTATGACAAAATTGTGGCTGCAACCGATCCTAAGAAACACAAGTTCTTGGGTCGTAACGTGCGTCCTTTCGACTATGCTGAATGGGAGCGTCGTCGAGAAGAGATCGTGCTCACGGGGTCGTATGCCAAATTTGCTCAAAACCATGACAATAAACAACATTTACTGGAGACGGGTACCCGCCTCCTTGCGGAAGCCAGTCCCTTCGATCGTGTTTGGGGTATCGGCATGTCTGCATGCTTTCCAGAGGCTAGCGTTTCATCCAAGTGGGCGGCTGGCGGTAAAACGTTGTTGGGAAAAGCTATGATGAAAGTTCGGCGCCTTTTGCGTGATCATCCCTTGTCTGGCGAAGATTTCTCCGCTTCCACTTCTCCCGCGCCTCCCATTTCGCAGCCTCCTCCCCATGGACATTGACGCATCCACGAGGTTGCTAATGCAACAGGTTCATCGTCACGGGAGGACCGGGGCGAAGATCCAGCTTGTCTCCGTTTGGACGCTCCGGGGGACCATGCTCCTGGCGTTCATCTGGTGGCATCGACCTCCACCTGTGCAGACCAACTCATCTTCTGGAACATGGGCCCGATCTGGTCGGCGGCACGCTCCTGTTGCACTCGGACTCATACACCACCCGGGTCCTACTGCATGGAGGACCTACAGCCCCTTCTCAACTCGCGCGGGTAGCGCTGCTGGACTCTGGGTCTCCTGCGCCCTTCGTGTCCGACTCCGTGGTCACCGCCATGATAGATACTGGAGCCCTGACAGCTGGCAGCGTTCGTGCTTCGCCCTCTCGTCGTTGGGGTGGGTTTGGTGATGGACCCGCCCTTGTGACCACCCGTTCAATTCGTCTTNCCACCCGGGTCCTGCTGCGTGGAGGACCTACAGCCACTTCTTAACTCGCGCGAGTGGCGCTTCTGAACTCTGGGTCTCCTGCATCCTTCGGTTCCGACTCCGTGGTCACCGCCGTGATAGCTGCCCGAGCCGTGACAGCTGGCAGCGTTCGTGTTTCGCCCTCTCGTCGTTGGGGTGGGTTTGGTGATGGACCCGCCCTTGTGACCACCCGGTCGATTCGTCTCACCTTTAATTTTCTCCATGGAGATAGAGCTACCGCTTCCTTGGCGGTCTGGGCCTGTGTTGTTCCAGACGCCGCCATGGGCCACGCCGTGCTTCT